ATGAACTTACACTCTGGTAATGTTCTTTGAACTGACACAAAACAGCAGACCCCCAATGTTGGGGTCCAGCCTGAGAGTCCAAGTGGGTTCTTAGCTTCGTGTAGGAAAGAATTCAAGAGCGAAGCTACCAAAGTAAAGCGTTTAACGCGTCCTCTAAAAGAAAAGAGGAACGGAACAAAGCCTGCTCTGTCAGCAGAGCAGCCCTTGTATATCGCTAGGGTTTCGGTTGGAAAATGAAGGCAAGTTTGTCGAAATGGCAGCAGGCTGCTCCATTGGCGGAGCGGCTCGGCTAATCTAGAGGTAGAACAGCAGCCGTGTATCACTGGGGTTTTATTTTTATAGCTAGTTCTTGGTTGTGTGTTAAGCAAGGGATGGAATGGTCATGGGATCCTTGGGAAAGATGCCGAGATTTAAAAACTGTTGTTCTAGCCGGGCGCGGTGGCTCACGCCTATAATCCCAGCACTTTGGGAGGCTGAGGTGAAAGGATCGCCTGAGCTCACAGGTTCGAGACCAGCCAGGACAACTTGGTGAGACCTCATCTGTACAATAAATCAAAATATTAGCCGGGCGTAGTGGTACGTGCCTGTAGTTCCAGCGACTTGGAAGTCTGAGAAGGAAGTATCCCTTGAGCCCGGCAGGTCGAGGCTGTGGTGGTCATGAGTGTGCCACTGCACTCCAGCCTGGGCAACAGAGTGGGACACCAACTCAAAAAAAATATCTTGTTTTTGCCATGTTCTAATCAGTTTATAAACTCCTCCTGTTTTTCTCTGTGGGGGCTCAAAAAAACCAGGCCAGCTACCTGTCTAGAGAAACTACCTCAGCCACCTGTATTGAGAAATAACCTTGTTATTTGTCCTAGGAAACTAGTCCTGCTGAACTCCTATCTATCTCACAACCATGCCAGCATTGCTATGCTTAGGGTTTGAATGACATACCCTTTTCTACTGCAATATTCTTCTCTTGTTCATTTTTTTTTTCTTTTCTTTTTTTTTTTTTTTGAGTCGGAGTCTCACTCTGTTGCCCAGACTGGAGTGCAGTGGCCGCTCCCGGCCACCGCAACCTCGACCTGCTGGGCTCCGGCGATCCTTCCGCCTCAGCCTTCCGAGTAGCCGGAATTACAGGCGTGCGCTACCACGCCCGGCTGATTTTTTGATTTATTGTAGAGATGAGGTCTCGCTGCCCAGGTGGGTCTCGAACCCGCAGGCTCAGGCAATCCACTCACCTCAGCCTCCCAAAGGCGTAGGATTACAGGCTGAGCCACCGAGCCCGTCTCTTGTTCATTTTTGTATGAGATTAGTTTTATTGAACTTTTAAGTGGAATAGATGTGTGAGGGTAGCTTTTCTAGCTTCACAGCCCTGGAGTTGCCTTTTATGTTGCTTCTGAGCAATTATTAATACCTACATTTTCTGTTTCCTTTGTTCTTGAGTTATCCTGCACAATTTGAATTCTACTCTCAGCATTTTTTTTCAGTGTAGAGTTTTGAAAAGAGAATTTCCCTTTTAGTCCTGAGATTTCATATAGCCCAGAGAGCTCTCAGTCTTTTCACAGGGTACTATAGATTCTTCTCTTCCATGTAATAGAATACCTGCAAACTTTTTCAGTTTTAGCTACAGCTCTAAGATTGGCCCTGACATGTTTTGGGAATACCTGTTTGCAACTTGGGGGCTTGTATACTTTAAGGAGTTTCCCTGTGGCTTCCCTCTGCTTCCTCCTTACAAATGATGTTACCACATGAGTTTTATATATTCAATGGTTTGACTCCACCTGTTTACACTTTGGGGATATTGGGTACCTAGTGTCTTTGTAAGTATCTTCCTTTGAACTTTGATTTTTAATATCTTAGTTGCTTTCTCTATTTTTGTATGGGATTCAGGGAAGTTCCAAAATAATTCTGCTTCTGTGGCCATCTTTTTAGAGCTCTATGGATACTTTGGCTCCATTGCAGAGAAATATATTTGTTCTCTTATATTTGTAGCAAAAGAAGTATGGTGCTGACTTTTTTCAGAAAGGACCATTTAAGAATCCAGATCGCAGAGTTCTCAATTGTTCAGTGACTTCTGGAGTTGTTTCTTATTGTGATTATCACATTTCCTTGTAACCGCACTTCTTTTCACTACTGACTCTTCATGTGCTGGGGTCATTTTGAGGAAGTCTCATGGAATAGCCTGTGTAGTGAGGAAGGTCCTAGCTAAGACATCTGTCATATATAGCAATCCTGTGTTGCTATATGGTGGATGGGACCCTCGTGGTTTTAGATTTAGATGGAAATAATCCAGAAAGAATGGAACCTATCCCTACCACCCACCACACCAGTAGGTATCTTTTGAATCATATAAATTTGAATTAGCTGAAGGCTATCTAATGCTGGACAGGATCATTACATAACCAAATATGCCTCTACCATTTGCTTGGTTATCTTTTTTAAAGTGCTTGCACTTTATTCAAGGGAGTGGGGTGGTTGAGTGCAGTTGAGACAGCACTCATGATTGTCAAATAATTTTTCTAGACACTCTACTTCACACACACAAGTGACACTTGTTCCCTTACCATGGCCACATCTAAGGAAAAACTACCAACATGAGTTTCTTTTTATTGAAATTGATGCCATTAATCAGGTTTATACTTGACTGTAAATAAATTGTTGAATACTAATTTGTCTCACAGATTCATAAAGTTTTGCACAAAGAGCATTTTTATTAAAAAATTCTTACCTCTTAGGAAGTTAAAATATGTATTACTACTTTAGTTTGTAACTTACGAGTTTCTTTTTATTTGATCTTCATGATAACCTTGAAAAGCAGGCATTTTTTCCTCTTACAGATGAAGAAGCTGAGGCTCTGGATAAGTTAACCTGCCTAAACCTATATAGGTAACTTATGACAGAGCCAAGAAGAAATTATTGAATAATCAGAATAATTATTTATTAGTATTGGAAGCCTCTATGCATATCTTCAGGGAACATGATCACACGAGTATCTGTTAATAAATCATCCCCAAACTGAACTAGTTATAATTTAGTAAAATGTTTAGAAAATGTACATTGTATTTCCTTAATATGCAACATAAAATATACAGTATAAGTAATATAATATGCACTCTTAAATGAATTTGTTTTGTGTTAAAACATTCAACAAACACTTTGGAAATTCATTTTTTTTCCTATTGAACTTCAGAACAATTGTTTATGATTGTTGCTATTTTGTAGATGCAAAATCTGAGGCACTTGATATTAAATGGTTTGCTCATATAGCTAGTCACAGAGTCAGGATTTAGTATCTCATGTCTTACCATTCTAAGTCCTATTGTCTTTCCTTTATACTATGTTACCTCATGATAAAACTTTCAAAATGTTACAACACAGCTGAATGGATGAACCAGCTATCACAATTTAGATATAGCTACCCAGATTGGTTGCTCTGTAATAATTTTATGAAATACTAAGACCGATGAAGAAAAAGAATAAATGAGTAGTGAAAGATGTGAGAGCTAATTTCAAGTCTAACAGGTCTCACAAATACTCTTTGGGCACATACAGAAAATGGCCAGTCTTCCCAGGAGAGAGACATGTATATATACATGATTGGTTTTAATAAGAAGATATGATCTAGATATGTCATAGACTATTTTTGTTCTCTGCCATCTTTCTGGGCCATCCTGACACCACCAACTCATTTTGCCAGACTTATTCTATTGTCATTACCATAGCTTGTGGCAGCCACGTTCTCACATACAATATCCACTTCACAGCTTGACTCTTTTCTCAGGGCTAATTGACTGTATTGTGTCATTTTTTTTCCTAGAAGGCTAACTAGTGAGGAAAATATAATTCCTGAGATCCATACATTTGATTAAATCAGTCTTGTCATCTCAGCCCGAAACCTAAAAGCTGGTGTCCCTGGGAGTCTTGCTGCTCAAAGATAGCCACAAGGAAAATTTAAACAGGGCAGGCTAGTCACACATTGGTAACTCATAGTCAGAGGTAGCTCTGAATGCTTGTTTTGTACCTTTTGAGCAAATTCACCCTAAAGATCTCATTTTTTTTTAATGCTCATATTATTTTTTATAGTAAGGACTTGAAATCAGTTTTCTGACAAGCTGAATATACTCAGAGATATGTGTGTGTGTTAGTATACATATGTATGTACACATATTTTAAATAATTGGAAGAAATCAAGTTCCCTTAGAAATTTGTACTTCAGGGTAAATAAAATTTGAGTTTTGTATAGAAAAAATAATGCTAGCCCTAGGCCAAAGTGGGGGGAAAAATAAGGTTATTTGTGCAACACCCCTTTTTGTAGCGTCTCTGGCCTTGTTCTGACCAACTGCACAGTATTATCAATTTTACTGGTTGAGGTCATTTTCAGGACATTATTCATGAAACTAGAAGACTTTTGCTAAGTCAGAAACCTTTTGGAAATTTTTCAGCTCCATATAGCTGTAGTGTAGAGCAACCTCTGAGTGATACCTTCCAAAGACTGGCCCTGAGCAATCTACTGTCACAATGCTGACTGCCATATTGGTCTCTACTTAATGAGAGTACCATACCTGATCTCTAACAGGAGACTTTTTCACCATCTTTTGCGACACTTGCTTTTCTTCTCCTCTAACAATATAGGCAGACAAATAGTAAGCAATACCATGTAAATTTCAAATACATATCAATTTGAGGACATATGGCTGATATTTCATTTGTTTAGAGTTTAGAAGGTATAGGTCCATCACTTCCAAAGTGTCCCCCTTGATGACAGTATCATTTCTGAAATATGTCAGAAACATAGTGATTAATTTTTGAAATGGAATTGGACCAGCGGTAGTTATCAGTATATAAAGAAATCTTCTCAGCTGCTAATATCTGTACCCAAACTCTAACATAAAATCATAAAAGAACTACTGTTGGTGTCTGTCGAGTTTGAGTTCTCTGGGTTATAATAATTGTGCATGAATGAAATCAACATTTGGATAGAGGAAGACTATCCCATATTGGAAAGTAATCATAGCTTTTATGCTCTTGTGTGTGTGTGATTTGACAGCTTCTTGGAGACTACAGCCTATTTCTTCATGAAACCAAAACTTGGAGAGAAGGAGGTGTCCCCAAATGTTTTCTTCAGTATCTGGCATGAATTCAGCTCTGATTTTAAAGACTTTTGGAAGAAAGAGAACAAACTTATTCTACAAGAGAGGTAGGTATTTTCATTTGCACAATGGCATTTTTAAGCTGGTATTTTATTAGGGGTGTAACATCACAGGGGTTGCCAGCCTGAATGAAAAATTAGATAATCTTCAACCTGGGCTAACAGGTCAAAGAGGCTGCTAACATGTGGCAAAATTTGACGTTTGAATAAGAAGAGTCAACAAAGAGGCTGTGATGCTACAGAGAGTAACTGGAGTGACAATTTGCCAGCACCACTGTCTGGTAAAACAACTTCTATCATGAGGAAAGCAGACCCTGCGAGAAGGACTGAACAACCCTGCTGGGATGACAAACCCACTTACCTTAAAAGACAGATAGCAAAGACTATAATGGTAAATGGAATCGTTTTTGGTTTTGCTCGGTCCATTGGATATCATCAACTTACCGTTCGTATCAAAATTTCACCTAGATGTCACCAAGAAGCACAGAAGATCTATATTTTTAAAAAGACTGTTCAAGATTCTTGTGGAATGACATCCATTTCTTAAAACAAATCTTTTCAGGAATGAAGGGAAATTTCTCCTCATCAGTATGAGAAATGAAGTCTCTGAGACTATGGAATCCCATAGAGGCATATTAAATATTAGGTAGTGAAAAAAGCTAGCTCTCCCAGGGCAGCATCCTCAAATAGCTGTGTCTAGTGGGGAAATGAAAGAGAAACATAATCTACACTCCAAAGCAAGCTCTAACACCAAACCAATTAGTATACTTCCCAACATCTCTGACAATGACTTGGCTTTAGATCTTTAGAAAGCTTACATCCTGAGGGACTTTGTTCTTCACTAACACAAAATTCCACCGCTTTCTGCCTGTGGTCTTCATTTTGCTCTGCTTATATATTACACATTTTGGTTTGATCATCCACCTACTTTTCAAGTCCATTGTATACCACCTTAAATCAGGTGAAATTAATGGCTAACAGTTACTGAGCTTGTAGACTATGCTAGATAGACTTGTGCTCACTCCTCCCATTAGTTACTTAGGCTCTGCAAGTCTGTTGTAGAAGAAACTATGCCTGAATGCATAGTAGGTGGGAAAAGAGAGCAGTTTGAACAGAAGGAAAACTCTTTAAAAGTCCACACCAAAGGTAATGAGTTTATTCTACCTCCAGTTGCATCAGTAAGCATTAACAAAAAAGGTGAGATTTTAGTTAAATGTCCATGCAGGTGAGGTAGGAGAGATAATTGCTTAAAAATAAGCATATTTGAATTATTCTTCTTTTCCTTCAGACTTAGCTATATAATAAGCAATTTTTACCCAAAAAAGGCTTGCTCTGTATGAATCATTATAAAGAGGATATGTATATACTTAGCACATCACATATGACTTCCCTTCATGTCCCTTCCTGGGTCCCCACATGCCTTTTTTTAAAAATCTCTAATTTATACTTGTTCCCCTGGAAAAGGGTTTGAAACACAGTCACGCTAAGGTTCAAAATGGAAAGAGTCATAGTTAACCTTGCATGATTGTTTGCATCCTAACTGGGATTGGAGTCCTCAATGAGAGTGGAATGGTGCGATCTAGACATCAACAAGATGGCACTGATGATGCTGTTGTTTTGGAGTAACTGCTCTGATGCACATCAGGTAAGCAAGTGCATCACTGTGAGAGGAAGACTTGGTGCTGTCATAGGGCAGCCTCTGGGAGCGTCAGGAAAAAGACATAGGTGGACACCCTTCTTAGAGCTGTCCTGTACTCCCCTCCCACCTGCCAGAACGTAAGCTGCCTCCTCACAGAGAATGTGGAGATTAACTGAGATGTGCAGCCCCATCTAACAGGCGCTCCATGAGAGTGTTGTTACTAGACAACATTCCCAACAGCAATCCACTATTTGATGGTGTCATATGCATCTGATGTACTTTTCTTCAGTCTCTGAGTGTCTCATAAAATCAAGCAGATCATTTTTCTAGTAATTTCTTCTGTGCTTGTCGTGCCCTAAAAATATGCTGTAGACATTTGGACTCACACTTGGTGACCTTACTTTCATTTTGGCAGCACTGTGAGTTGGCAGATTACAAATGCCCTTCACTGCAGACGTCTCATTTTTCTAAATAAATTGCTTTTTTAAGGAGTAAGGAAGAATGTGGCAGGTGAGAGAGTGCCGCTTTGCCCTTTGACTTCCAAAATCTCTCATCTTGGCAAATGATAACCAGGCTGCTTTGAAAAACAAGACCACTGGTCCAAATTGTCCATAGAACAACTTTGTTTCTCTTTTTAGTGTGGTTCCAGCTATGTAATTTCTAGGAAACAGTGCAAAATGAAATTGCGGCATCCTTTGTACAAAACTTAACAATTTCAAGACAGCAAAGTATTTAAACCAAGTGTAGTGCCCTTCTGAAAGAGGCACCCCATGTAACTGCCCAAAGGCACACTCACGCAACTGATCCCACCTTAGTGTAAGCCTTGTATATTTTTGTAGTTAAATAAAAGGGTATTTCAGGAATGCTTTGAGTGCCCTGGGACATCGATAGAAAATGAAGGTGCGGTCAGGTAAGTATGTGAAACCTCTTGTACAGTCACCATCAGTGTGAATTAGAACCTCAAGTAGAATTACAGATGCTTGCAATGGATGTTGTTTCTCAACCTGTTTGTTTCCCACCTCTGCACACCTATAATATGTATTATTCGCATATTTCCTTCAATAGCTAACCCTATACTACCTCACAATATGTCTATTTTTGTTTTATGCCTTTTTTTTTTTGATACTTGCATTTTAGTCTTTATTTCCCAACAAGGTGTTCAATGTCTTCATTTCTGGTTTAAGTCTCACCTGTCAAAAGCCACATTGACTTTCCCCTCTTAATGTCTCCCTAACTCCTTGCTGATTTGACTTGTGATAACATTACCTTTGACATGGACTTGGAAATAAGAATTTAGTCTAGTAAAGTAATGGGCATGTTTTCTTATATAACTTGAATTGATCATTGTAGGTAATAAAAAGCCTACACCAAATGCCTTAAGCAAAAAAAAGAGAGAGAGAGAAAGAGATTTGTGGTGTTGTTCAGGTTGTCAAACCACAGAAGGGCAAACTGGAACTTGCCTTTGGATAGCCTGAGTGCGGATTTCCACCTACAGTCAGTGGGGGGTTAGTCAGGTGTATCTGTACCTCTCTCTTCCACAATCTGCATGCCTTTTGAACCGTCCTCTTTCCTTCCCTCTCTATTCGTCTTCCTTCTCCTCCTCCTCTCTCTCTCTCTCTCTCTCACTCTCTAATTTTTCCTCCCCCTTTCTTCCCAATCCATTAACCTCTTCTGTGGTTTAACTTAATTTCCAAACTAGGCTGTTCCTTAGCCATTGGCCACAGCCATGGCTTTTATTCTCACAGCCAGGAGGAGAGAGGGCACTCCAACTCCATCTATGGAAATCCCAGGTAGGGCCTCCAAGTTGTGTCCATCTCTGGATCCACAACAGTGGTGCTACCATTAATTAAGCTTAGCAATTCATAAGCCCCATCCTGCAACCAGAGAAGAGAGTTACTGTGATTGACAAATCCCTTCAGAGCAGTATACTGGAGTAAGAAAAGTGTAGTTTCCTTAAAAAAAAAAAAAAAAAAAAGCAAACAAAAATCTACTGCTCTAATTTAGTAAGCCTTTAAAAGTAACCTGTGTCATTATCACAATGTCCTAGCATAGTAGAAATAACCTGAAAGATGGTGTTAATGGTGTCCTTGACATTTTTCTTTCTGATCCAGTTTTCCTTGCACTAATGTGATATTTATAGATTGAATATTATCTTTAAGTTTTAAAACCTTGTGTAAAATATTTTATCCTGTCATTTCTAATTGGTGTCTAATTACAGAGTGTTAGCCGTTCTGTATTTTCTGGCTTTGTTCTGATGACCCACATGATTTGGTTAATATAATTCATGAAGTGGTGAATTTCTGCATGTCCATGTTAAATAGTTTTGTAGACTTTCTAGCCAATGTGGCCTGTATTTCTAAATCGGTCCTGCTACTCACTACACCAGGACTGTAGAAAAGTCAATTATCCTTCAAGAGTCATAATTTTCTAACCTGCAAAATGCAAACAATACCTATCTTGCAGTGTTATTGTGTGAACTAAGTGAGATTAATGTATTTCAAGTATATAGCACAGTGTCTACACTTTGAATGTTCAAATGGCTGTTTTTTCCATGATTTCATAAAAATGATATTCAGTCATGGTTCCCTGCAAGGTGATATATTGCTAAGGCACATTAAGTATCTTTCTTTATCTTTCCTTTTTTCTTTCGTTCTTTTTTTGTTTTTCTTTTCTGAGTTGGGGTCTCTCTCTGTTGCCCAGGCTCAATCATGGCAGTGGCACGATCATGGCTCACCATAGCCTCAAACTCCTAGGCTCAAGAGACACTCCTACCTCCTGTGTAGCTGGGACTACAGGTATACACCACCATGCCCAGCTAGTTTATTTTATTTTATTTTATGCAGATGTAGTTTCTCTATATTGTCCAAACTGGACTTAAACTTCTGGGCTCAAGCAATCCTCTTACCTCGGCCTCCCAAACTGCTAGAATTACAGGCATGAGTCACCATGCCCAGCTGATGTTAAGCATCTTAAGAACATACTCTGTAACAACAAAGTATATTATTGTGACTCAGAAATGGTCTTGGTTAAGTAAATGAACTTTTGTTTGAAAATGTTAATGCAACCTATGCCTCTATACACTGTGTGATATAATGAATACAGACAACTGACCCATTGGTTTTGTTACAAGTCAGGAAATGTGCTTTTTCATCTACTTAGAACAAAGTATATACAGTGAATAAGAAAGTCTTTTTCTAAAAAAAATCTAGACTTGTCACTACTGAGCAACACAAGTGTATGAAAACTACGGTTTAAAAATTTTCCAATTTGACTAGTATTTACCAGAAAATGAAGGTCAATTAACATTTAGTTTGCCAAGCATCTCCCTAAGGTCTCACAGAGCATAGTTGTAATATGTAAGGAAGTGTGCAATCCTCATCTCTTATTTTCAGGAAGACACTAGCATTAG